CTTTTTGTATTATTAGGTCCTTTACTTAATTTAAAGTCTCGTTTTAGGTGATATAAAGTGTAAGGGTTCAAATATTGACCCTGGCCAGACCTTTTTAATCAGTAACGCGCTCAATATGAGCCATGCAATATGGCCTATTTTTGTGAAGGTCAAACTTCAAAAAATTAAGTCCTTATATTGATAATGTTTGTATTTAATGGACTAGCATAAAGTCAAAATCAAAGTTAAAGCATTTATTTTAATTAATCCTTAATTAGGCTCTTTTTAAACGTCAAAAATTGAATTGGCCGTCCGTCTATCTGTTAGTGAAGCTAGGCGCTCATTCCAAAGTGTAGTTTCAAATGGAGAAGCTACATGATTGCATTATTCTGAACCGACTACTTACATAATAATTTAACATAAAAAATTGACGAAGCAAGAATACTTAAACAATCATTAATATTATTAAAATAAAGAATGTAATATAATTAGGCTTATCCAGAAGTCATTAAGGGAGGCCTATGATCAGCAGTGGGCTTTTTACGGCTGATATGATGATGATAATGAAAAGTAGTAGATAATATTAAACAGTATTTCAGATGCAATCGGTTTAAAGTTCTTTTTGATCTTTACTTATGTATAATCTTTATTGAAAACCATTTTTGTTATTACAACACATTCAAATCCAGATCATCTATTTTTACGTCATACAAACATTTTGTTTCGCGGGGACAGAAAACCAATTCTTAGCAAATCAGGTAGGTACATGTACATAATAATTATGTTCTTTCAGTTATCCAATTAATGTATAAAATGTAGGTAGTTTTATGTAAGGACCTAATGATAACTCACTTAATTAAATACTCATCATAATCAATCAATGTAAAGGTCACATACAAATATTTATTTTTTATAGTCTGTGGTAACGGTGATGGTTCGCGCGCAAAAAAAGCGTGGAGATTTGTCGAGCTGTCAATGTCAGTGTCACCTATCATGAACTGTCATTTGTCACTGTCCTCTAGTGATGTTGTTGATGCTTTACGGTTAAGGTTTACGATGTGTGAAGTTTTCGGTTTTTGTTATTGTTGACTCAAGTTGTATGATGGTGGCGGGAGCTTAAGGTATAAAGCTTAAGGTGTAAGAAGGTTTTATTTGATTATAAACTCACGATACCTAATAATTGATCTTAATTTCACTAATGTTAATACTATATTTAATACAAAGGGGTAAAAATTTATAGTAAACTTCAAGAACATATACCTATTTAATAATGTAATATTTATTACATACACACATAACATCACGCCTTTTATCCCCGAAGGGGTAGGCAGAGGTGCACATTATGGCACTTAATGCCACTATACAATGTAACACCCACTTTTCACTATTTATGTTACGAGTCCCATGTAAATTAATATATCTTTTATTAAACAAATCGTTGCTTTTTCAGTGTCCTGTATGATTATGACAGTGCAATAGTGACCACTGTCCTAAATATGGAGTTCAGTCAGTTGGTCATGCCAGTGTGCTTACCATTCAAGTTCCGTAGTAATAGTTTCGCTGGAGCCAAGGTTACTGCCATTGGTAAGTATCATCACTTCATCAGCTAATGCTGGAATACTCAATTTTAAGTCGTGCTTAAATATCATGCTGTCTCTGTCATTTTACAAAGAATTTGAAGAGACAGAACTATGCTTAACCGCGACTTAAAATTGAGTACCTAATGTTTTAGTATTCGGGCATATGTCTTGATTCAGAAAAGATTAAGAAGTACATACATAGTGGTCAGCAAGTCAATCTACTGTTTTCTGTCTTTCGTTATTAGATTTTCAACTATACCGGTTTTTTTATTAAGTGTTAAAACCAGTGAAACAAATGAACAGATTGGGGAAGGTTGCTGATTACTGAACTGCTACAGGAAGAATAACACTGTGGTAAGGCATCGATAAGCCTTAAGATGTATACTCAAGAAGAGGTGTACAAATAGGAGTTTCCAACAGAAAAAGAAAATAATATATCTTCCATACTAAAATGCTTGAAGGTCCCATTTTCCAATCAAGAGAATAATATAGTTTTAAGAATTTTGTGCAAAAGCGATGGTTAGTTGACTGCTCGGTTGGCGCGGTGGCTGGGCAACTGGCTGCCGCGCAACGTGTCGCGGGTTCGATTCCCGCACGGAACAACTCTTTGTGTGATCCACAGATTGTTGTTCCGGGTCTGGGTGTCATGTGTATGTGATATTGTATGTTTGTAAACGCACCCACGACACAGGAGAAAATCCTAGTGGGGGGCAACGTTTTTTTTTTTTTAAAAAAGTCTTAATAAGATACTTTACACCAACAGTCTCTAAGTGGCCACTGCTGACCAAAGGCCTCTTCTCACACGGAGAAGGTTTGAGCATTAATCACCACGCTTGCTCATTGCGGGTTGGCGATTTCAAACTTACAATTATTAATTATAAAGTCCAGGTTTCCTCACGATGCTGTTCTTCACCGTTTGTCAGTGGTGTCTAAATAATCTTAGAAAGTACATATAGGTAACTCGGAAAAAGTCACATTGGTACTTGCCATTGGTAGGTTTCAACCCAGCATCTTCATGCATGGGAAGCGAATTAGATACTTACTGACATAGGATTCATTATGATTTTCATAATTATTGAAGCTAGCTTTTACCCGCGGCTTCGCTCGCGTCACAAAAGGATAAAAAGTAGCCTATGTGACATATACCAATACACACAGCGCCATCTATACCAATAATTTCGTTTTCCCTCGAGAATATCAAATTCTTCCGGGATAAAAAGTACCCTATTATTTAATCCAGACTTCTAACTTCACGTCTGCAAAAATTCAAAGCAATCGGTTTAGTAGTTACGGCGTGAAAGTGGAACAAACAAACAAACAAATAAACTCACTTTCCGATTTATAATATTAGTAAGGATAGTAAGGATAGCCAAATGTATTCTGGTCACAAAATAAAAAAATGTAGGCAAGTTAGAATTTTTCGTTTGTTTTCCAGGTTGGGGCACCCTTTTCATTGGTGGACCGAAGCCAAGTGCTCTGATGAAGGTAGACTTGGATGTGATCAGTCAGGCCACTTGCAGGAACACGTTCCCTAGTGTCACTGATCGGCAAATGTGCACTTACACTCCAGGGAAGGATTCTTGTCAGGTCAGTCGTTGTCGTGTGCATTATTTATTTATTTTATTTATTTAGTCTTTTATGGTACAGTCAAACCTACAAACAGTCACTGCCACCGTGAGTGATGTTCACACGGCAATGCGTAAGTAATTTCATATGAATGTGCATAAAAACGCGTGCGTACACACACGGATAAAAATATGCGTGTGCAAGTGTGTATAAGCGCTGCAGCGCAACGGATAGTAGTCTTACGGTAACAATGTACTTTTGACCTTTGACTACATACACCATTTGATTATGGCACATAAGGCGAACTTAATGCATTCTGTACCAGTCAACCAGTTCATTATATGAAAATTATACTAAAATAATGAAACTTTTTTTATGGTACAAGCCGGTAAACGAGCAGACGGATCACCTGATGGTGAGCAATTATCGTCGCCAATGGATACCATTGGAACATGGAATGGAAAACCAAAGGCGTTACAATTACATTACCGGCCTTTTGGGAATTAGGAATTTGAGGGTTCTTGGCATTCAAGGATTATGGAGATTAGGGAAGGGGGGAGGAGGTAATTGGGCAAGCGTTGTTTCAAATCGGTTTTCTGTGGTGTTATGAGCAGTTGCACTTGCGGCCACTCGGCCAACGAGGCAACAGAAACTTCTACGTATGTTTTTACGTATAACCTTTTCATATTTTTTAAGCTGACTATAGTTTAAAGGTATATGACCTCAGTTGTCTAGTTTCCTATGTTTAAAATAAATTGTTTCAACTTTTCAATGCAATAATTAATTAAAAAAATAATCATACTCTCATCCATTGATTTGACAATTTACCTACTTTTGGATTTTTTCTCGCTAATTTTAAGGGAATAAGTAATGCTATTTGACGCAGAAATCTGATGATGTCATAAGTTGCGATCCAATACAAAACTCATAGAAAACTATCGTTTTTGACATTTAAATAAAAGTATTGAATTTGACTACCTATCTACTACCGTATTGTTTCTATTGTCCCCAGGATGACTCCGGAGGTCCTCTCCTCTACACGGACCCACAGACCGGTCTCCTCTTCAGCGTCGGTATGGTCAGCTTCGGTAACTTCTGTGCCGAAGCTAATACCCCAGCTGTGAACACCAGGATCACCGCTATCTTGGACTGGATCGTGGCTAACACCCAGCCGATATCGCAATACTGTGTTAAATGATTCTATTCTGACTTTGTCGTTCAAACGAAATTGTGCCAAAGTTCTTAATTATTGTTATTAAAAAATATGTATTTTATTTTGTCTTTTTTTTCAATTGCTGTTGGTAGTTGTTGAATGCTTTTATTTCAGTTCAAAATAATGTTTAGATGGGTATTAAAAATCAAGAATAATGCTGGTATTGAAACATAACAATTAAATAGATTACTACTTTTTGGTTTTGTGTACTTACTCATAACGAAACCCTCTCGGCCAGCCGGGCCAGCTTACTTACGAGCCCTTACTAAACACATTATTTCCACTCTTTCAACGATAGATGGCGTTATTCTCAAGAGGAGCATTGCGGCCTGCGCGGCAAACCACCGCGAATTCAGCCGCGCGAATATTGATTATTCTGCCTATCCCCCAGTCCGAAACAACTTCACTCTTCTACACTATTATTCTTGCTATCAGTCCACACAATATTCTCAACTAAAACCGCTTTCATTACCCATAAAATGTAATAATCTCCAAACATTAAAAAAAAAACATGTATCTTCTTAAAATTATATTTATTCTAATTTGACAGTGTTTAGTTATCAAATATTATTAACGTAGCGATGGAAGTGAACATCTTACTGAAGTTTAAAATGAAGAGATAGGCTGTGGTTGTTTTTTTTTAAATATATTTTTTTAAGAAAATGCCAAAAAGGATACCATTCCACGTTGTTTATGCGACAAGTGAGTATTTATTTTATTTTATTCACGAATAGTAAACGGTGTTGTAGTTTTTAGTATTAGAATATATTTTTACCACCGGCTTTTTTATTGTTTAACAATGCACACTGCTTGATAATTCTTGAACTGACTAAGTGTAATTTGATCTAAATACCTTAAATAACATTCAGCTAAATGACATTTTAGTCTAGAATTCTAAGAACAAAGATACCTAAGTAGAATATGTAGGCGATATGCCACGTCTTAACTTAGGTACAGTAATTAGATAAGCAGTTAGGCATCCACCTAATTGCTTAGCATCTTGTATGGCAGATACCAAATTACTAGATTAATTTCAATTGAACGCTTTGGAGGTTTATCTGTGCTACTAGGATAAAAAGGTAGCCTTACAGACAGATCTTTTCGTAAAATTGTAATAATTTTAATTCAATAGCAATCTAAAAAAGAACCTCTTTCATTGAAACAATCTCTCGTCTTTAAACAGTTATTGATGTTGAAACTTGTAACTATGATTGATGTATGTATGATTGACTAGCTACTTCCGCGCGATGTCACTCTCTTTGCTCGGCGCCTATTAATCGTAGCGTGATATTTTATAGCCTATAGCCTTTCTCGATAAATGGGCTATCCAACACAGAAAGAATTTTTCAAATCGGACCAGGAGTTTCGGAGATATTAGCGCGTTCAAACAAACAAACAATAAACAAACTCTTCAGCTTTATAATATTAAGTATAGATGAAGGGACCCAATATATGATGCCGATATAAAGTCTCGGAAAACGTACCGGGGCTCCGGCTCGAAGTGCAGGAATAGGAATGAGGTGGTTTTTAGTCAGCAAGAGTGTGACAGTCTCTTCTGCTTCACCCAGGCCGGAGAAATCATTCGACAGGTTTAGCCTTCTTAAAAAAAAAATTGTTTGTGTTAGAAAAATATAAGCTAAAACGCGCAGCTTAATACTTTCTTTTATAGACTTGAATAGGTAAGATTACCTATAGATAGTTAGATATTCTTATCGCTATCGCTCGTAAGGTCTGAAGTCTACACCTCAAGTTTTATTGGAGTCCCACCAGGAAATTGCCAATTGAGTCTGGATTTGTGGTCAGTGCATAACAATAGGGTCTCTCCCTATTGATGGACGTGATAACGTAATTGGTTGAAAGTGCATGCCCTAGTACGTAAATGGGAACTTCCCAGAATTGCAGTTTGCCTGAATCGAGTTGAGATTAGCGAAATACCTCATTTAAAATTCATCATCATGATGATGATCAATCTACTGACCAAATCCTCTTCTTACACAGAGAAGATTTGAGCATTAATCACAACGTTTGTTCATTGCGGGTTGGCGATTTCAAACTTATAATATAATTAGAAATTAATTTTAACCTGCGATCATCGTCCTGCCAAGTGAGGAGAACATAGCAAATCCCTCTTTTTTGCTAAAGAGAACATAGTCTTTTTTTAAGTGCGGAAAATCGTCCAATGACTTCTCCCGCCTGGGTTAGGCGAGAGGGAGTGTCAGACTCTTACTTACTAAAAACCATGCCGTTCCTACTCCTGCTCTTTGTGCCGGAGCCCCGGCAACCCGTTAGGCCTTCCGCGGATCTGTATCGGGCATCAGGCCTACTGGGCCCCATCTGTGGTGGTCTGAATTCCGAAGGCTAATTGAGGTGCGCGCGGCACGCGACGCGCCGTATACGCGGGTCTGGTTCTGGTCGGGCGGCGAATTACCCTTGCTAGCCGTCCTTACGGTGGTCGGAGATTGTCCCGTGATCTCCCGCGACGACGGCTGGGGCAGGGAACATAGGGCATGGAGTGGACTATCACCGGCTGTGGTTTATGATTACTATGATGATAATTTCAAATAATTATATAACGAGCTACAGTCCTTATTATTACGGATCATAAGGGATAGTTTACCAAAATTCTTACATTTTGACAAAGGACTTAGAGATCGCGGTTATTTCAACGAAAGTTTAGATTAGACAGTTAGATAATGCTGCTACCCGTCTCTCGGGGGTCGCTGTTGTACGACATTGATACTCGGCTCCATTATTATTATTATTCTAGTTACTAATGATTAACAGACCAGTGCCTGTAGGCTCACCCCCTATTACATGAGACTCATAACATAAATAATGAAAAGTGGGTGTTACATTGTACAGCATGGCATAATGTACACCTCTGCCTACCCCTTCGGGGATAAAAGGCGTGATGTTATGCTATGTGCCTGTAGAATTAAGAAACAATATTTAGGACTCAAGTTGTAACATCGATTCGCTAGTTATTTTATGAGTTTTGTAAATAGACAACTGGCAAGCACACAATGCCAGATTTTATATTATACTTATTAGGTCCACGTTTGACCACCATCTCGCCAGGTGGTAAGCGATGATGTGGCCGACGATGGAGCACGCCTACCTATGAGCAACCTGTTCACTCGGGACTTGAAGACACCCAAGTCATATTTTGACGGGAAACACAGACTCCGGCAAAGAATTCCATTCCAACGCTTGATTCTTGGATTACTAAGGATTTTCAAAAATCCTCCAGCAATCCAACCCGGGAATCCAACACCTCAAGCGAGTCGAGTCGAAACCCTTTGTTCGTTGCTGCCAGCCAGCTACATTTATGAATATCGAGGCTGCCATTTTTGTTTCATTCCAAAAAATATCACCCCTTGTCATCGGACGATGAAATACTCAAACGTCACTTAATTTTAACCCGTTGAAATTCAACCCCTAAAGTTCATACAAAAGTAGTCTCTAAACATTGGATATAAGGTCTATAATGTAGTTTGTGGAGAGCGGTCACCGGTAACCGCTTTTTTTTTTTTTTTTTAAGGGGGGAAAATCATCGAATGACTGCTCCCGCCTGGGTGAGGCGGAAGGGAGTGTCAGACTCTTACTGACTAAAAACCACCCCGTTCCTTCTCCTGCACGTCGAGCCGGAGCCCCGGTTACCCGTTAGGTTCTCCGCGACTCCGAATCGGCATCGGCCCTATTGGGCCCCATCTGTGGTGGTCTGATGGCTCTTTGAGGCGCGCGCGGAACGCGACGCGCCGTACGCTCGGGTCTGTTTCTGGTCGGACGGGGAGCCACCCATGCTCGCCGTCCGCAGGCCCGCGCCGGTAACCGCTTAAGGATATATGGGTTAAAAGTTGAATAGTTCTCTCAGTACAAATTCTTTGTAAAATAACAGATGGCATGATCAACAACAGCCTATAAATGCCCATTGCTAAGCAAAGCCTCTTCTCACACGAAGTAGGTTTGAGCATTCATCATCACGCTTGCTCATTGCGGATTTTCGATTACAAACTTATAATTAGAAATTATAAGCCCAGGTTTCCTCACGATGTTTTTCATCACCGTTTATCAATGATGTCTAAATAATCTTAGAAAGTACATATAACTCGGAAAAAGTCACATTGGTACTTGCCGTTGGTAGGTTTCGAACCCTCATGCATGAGAAGCGGGCGTCTTAATCCTCCGGGCCACCACGACAATGGCATGATATTTAAGTACAATTAAAAGTGAGTAACTGCCTCATTGGCCGAGTGGTCGCAAGTGCGACTGCCGGGCAAGGGGTCTCGGGTTCGATTCCCGGGTCGGGCAAACTATTACTGGGTTTGTAAAAACCTACTGAGTCTGGAACTGTGCCCGGTATATGGCAATATGCTCACCCCCTATTACATGGGACTCATAACATAAATAGTGAAAAGTGGGTGTTACATTGTACAGTGGCATTAAGTGCCGTAATGTGCACCTCTATCTACCCCTTCAGGGATAAAAGGCGTGATGTTATGTTATGTAAAAGTGAGCCTTTCAGTATTCGGTCGTGGGCTTGTCATACAAATGTAACCTGTCATTCACAATGAATATTTTCTTTCACAAATACCAATTTGAATTACGAATCATATTTCATAGCCAACCGGCGTCGAAATAAAAAGCTATTTACAAATGAAACTGATCCTTAGTTACATTCGAATAAAGTGCTTTTTACAATGTAATTGACACGCTTGATATTAGGGGTTAAGTTGTTATTCAGTGCCTAAGTACGGACGGCCGGTGTTTGGACCATTAGCCTAATGGAATTGTACTATCAATTCATTAGAAGTTGTTTACAGTCGAAAGAGTAATTGTTTGATATGTACTATAATTTTCAAGTTGGTTAATGGCTTCAGGGCGCACCCTTATTACATGTGGCAATAATTGTAATACATAAAAGATAACATGTAACATCCACTTTTCTCTATTTATGTTATGATTGTTATGAGTCTCATTGGGGGGGGGGGGGGGCTATTGCCATATGCCGGGCACAATTCCAGACTCCGTGCTACCACTGAGAATTTTTACAAACCCAGTAATACTTTGCCCGACTCGGAAATTGAACCCGAGACCCCTTAAGCGGCAGTCGCATTTGCGACTACTCGGCTAACGAGGCAGTCAGTATTTGTAATGTAACTGGCACAGAGTACAGTTATCCTAGTCATTTGGTTTTATCATCAGCCTATAAGTCCCCACTGCTGCGGACGGCGAGCATGGGTGGCTCCCCGTCCGACCAGAAACAGACCCGAGCGTACGGCGCGTCGCGTTCCCCGTGCGCCTCAAAGAGCCATCAGACCACCACAGATGGGGCCCAATAGGGCTGTTGCCGATTCGGAGTCGCGAAGAACCTAACGGGTAACCGGGGCTCCGGCTCGACGTGCAGGAGAAGGAACGGGGTGGTTTTTAGTCAATAAGAGTCTGACACTCCCTCCCGCCTCACCCAGGTGGGAGCAGTCATTCGATGATATTCCCCCCTTAAAAAAAAGTCCCCACTGCTGAGACTCTAGCGCTAAAACAAAAGATTCGCAGCGCAGTACACTAGTTCCACGTCCGTCTGCTAGAGGTGTCTACGGTATACGAACTTCTCCCACGCATAAGTTGCTACCCTATAGGCTATAAATCAATAAAAGCCGTGAATATTATAAAAGAAAAACTATCAATATAGCTAATAAATACATGACGTTTCGTCCGCCTACAATTGTGGACACCAGCACATGAATCTACACTAACATCTTTAATAGATTTTCAATCATACGTCCGTACAATAATAAGGTTGAAACTCAAACACCAAGTTGTCAGAATAGTATAATGCTAGCGTAATCACATCAAACTTCTTTCAACTATAAAATCTGTTAGTCAACTTTCAACCTTACATAAATGAAATTAGGTTGAACATTCGAACACAGTAATAGTATAGCTTGATTTGCAGCCAGTGTTAGACTAGTCATTAATAATGTAAGGACTGGTTCATCAATCGATACAAGTAGTTTTAGTTCCAATATTATACTGTCTGTTGTATTATAAATTGACGGCGCTTCTGTCTGTCCGGTCATAACAGCACTGGGAGCAATGAAACGGATTAACTTTCTTCATTTCTTGATAAATATTTTCGTGTCGTAGTAGCCCAGAAGTTAAAGACGCCCGCTTCTTCGAGAGTGCGGGTTCAAAACCTACCAATGGCAAGTACCAATGTGACATGTTTCGAGTTATATGTACTTTCTAAGATTATTTAGACACCACTGACAAACGGTGACGGAAAACATCGTGAGGAAAAACTTATAATTAGAAAATATCTGGGCTTATAATTTCTAATTATAAGTTTGTAATCGCCAACCCGCATCGTGCAAGCGTGGTGATTAATGCTCAAACCTTCTCCGTGTGAGAAGAGGCTTTTGGTCAGCAGTGGCTTATAGATGATAATAAATATTATCATGTACAAAGTATTTTATTAATTGGTAACATACTTTAGGGGAAAAAAATAAGGGCATACGTTATGCCTTTCATTTTTTTACAAGTAGTACCTAATTACGACTATTTTTTAATATTTCCGTATCTATTACATAGTCTATTTACTCCTGCATCGCGAATTGGACCCAAGAACATGTATTAACTGTTGAGGAGCTGTATTCCTAAATACCTCTACTCTACAATCGATCCATGTTAACATCGCCATGTTTAAACATTATGAACCTTAACCAACCCAATAATTAAGTCGCCTATTGATTGATGTTTGTACACGTTGTTGTATGAAGTACGGAGAAATTGAAAATAATATCGAAACATAGTCGAGCTTCGAACATGCCATGGTCATTGGTCAGTTGGTCACCAATACATATGTAGAAGTACTACAACAGGGTAGATGCCTAATTTTTATTTTAATGTCCGTCTGGTAGATTATTAGAAGAAACGAATACTTTCGACGATATTATTATATTGATTTGAAATGTCGTGTGGCGTCACTTCTATACGTACATTTATACGTAGAAATGACGTTTTAGCTGCTACTTAGTCCTAAACTTTGATTCGTTTTAATTAAGTATTGTTTTATTATACGACAAAATAAAAAAATACGTGTCTAATATTGTTTCATTACCTAACTTACGGACTAATTCGATTTTTAATTTTCAAACCATGGCATATGGCATCATTCCAATTCGTATGTACATGGTATGCATAGCTAACATAAGTATTAGCTGCCACTCAACGGTAATTAAAATACTTTTAGCGTTGCAGCATTTCTGTGTTGTTAAAATTGTTGGTAAAACTATTTTGTCATGTATGTACAAAAAGAGGGATTTAAACTGTCAAACACCGCGAGGACACCGGTGACCGCAACCTATTGTTCTTTAATTGTGTCTATAATAACGGTACTCAAAGAGTTAAGTGAGAAGACCCAGGCTTCAGCACGAATGGGCCGGCTCGACCGGAGTGATACCACGACTTCACAGACTACCCACGTGAAACAACGCTTGCGTTGGGTTTCGTCGTGTGTGTGAGTTTACTGGATGCTCAATTACGTCACTCCCCTCCTCTTCCCCAATCTCCAAATTCCTAATCCCAAAAGGCCAGTAATGCACTTGTAACGCCTCTGGTACTCCAGGTGTTCCATCTGCTCGTTCACCGGCTTATCCCATAAGAAAAGGACGGGATTTTCTATTGACCACTATTTTATCCCATGTACAATTGGACAATGGACATATGATTCATGTTGGCCATATCGTTCATCCCTTCAAGAGCCAAGGATTTACTGCCTGGTAAAAAGTGAACTCACGACAATGACGAAGACAAGAAGCTTGTTTCGAAAAGTTGGATCAAAACCAATGAAACGCCAGTGTATAAATTATTCTCAAATTCAAAGTCAAAACATTTATTTCAATTAAACCATAATTTGGTACTTTTGAAACGTCAACAAATACAAAATAAATAATAGTCTGTCAGTCAATCCGTCAGTGAAGCTAGGTGAAGCTAGGTGCTCATTCCAAAATGTAGATTCGAATGGAGAAGAACGAGCAAGAAACTCCATTCGTTACTTTTTTTAAAAAAGTATGTTCTACAATGTCCCTGATACATATTCCCATACTGTATGTATATGTGAGAACAATGCAAAGACACGCTTGACGCATTACAGGTACTAATAACAAACCTTAATAAAATAAAAAAATCTTATAGTCTAACATGGTGCTCACATATGCATACTGACAATCTTTTATATTTGTGCAGGTGAAGACAGTTCCTACCCAGCATGCGAGCTGAACGCCCAGGGTCCGGCGGCGCGCGGCTGGCGCAGCGAGGGTACCCCCCCTCACGAGCTGCTCCTCCGCCTCGCTCGCGTCACCTCGGTCCACAAACTGCAGCTGTTGGCACATCATCAGCTTATACGTAAGTAATACTCTCCACAACCTCCAAAAACCGCTGCAACTCCTTTAAGCCAGGATCTACAGTAGATACAACCATAAAAATACCGGAACACTGAACTCCGGTGCGTCCCATGGACATGAATAACTGTCTAGGTTCCCGCAACGAAATGAATCAGAAGATATTAAAATAAGAAGAGAAGAAAAAAACGATAGCGTCCATTTCCCTCGGTGAATTACTGCAGGAGACAGAATGAGTTAAGCTTAAAGACACAAAAAGAGGCTGTACAAAAATGTATAGTACAATTTAGATAGATTAGATTTCTGCACAAATGAACTGAGTCAAATCGTAGTGATTCGGCGGTGGCCACGGCTTCAAGAAAACCACCGCCTGTCTCATGAAAAATACTGAATCGCTATAGAATCATTTTACATTTCAGCGTCAAGCGTAGAAGTCCTGGTATCTGGAGGACTGGTATCGGAAGGAGCCGCTACACCATGTGGAGCCACATACACCAGCGTCGGGAAGGTCACACTCGCCAGACCTGCTCAGCAAGCCAGGACTCGGGAACTAAGGTAAATTCTCTTACAGCTTTTAAAAATTGTCGAACTTACTCGGGAAATCTTTGTTCCAAATGAAAGTTAGGATAAGGATGACATATAAAATGATTTTATTTACTCTCAACAGAATCTATCTGTAGCGTCTAACTACTATAAATTAATTAGGATTAAGGTCTTGTACAAGTTTTTTTTTATGACATAAGCCGGTAAACGAACAGACGGATCACCTGATGGTGAGCAATCGGCGTCGCCCATGGCCACCTGGAACACCAGAGGCGTGCGTTACCGGCCTTTTGGGGATTAGGAGTTTGAGGATTGTTGGGGATTCAGGGATTGGTGAGATTGGAGAAGGGGAGGGTAATTGGGCCTCCGGTAACCTCACTCACACGACGAAACACAACGCAAGCGCTGCTTCACGTCGGTTTTCTATGAGGCCGTGGTATCACTCCGGTCGAGCCGGCCCATTCGTACCGAAGCATGGCTCTCCCACACTTAAAAGTTCTAAAGAAGGCACAAATTACTTTTATTCTTATATGAAAATAGTTAAAGTTTCTATTCTATGTTCTTGCAGATCAGCCGCTCTTCCAGAACCAACAATAGCTCGCTTCGTTAAACTCAAGCTGTCTGGACCACATCCACCAGCAAAGGAAGACGATCAGGTCGCCCTGATGGCTGTAAATGTGCTTGGTGAAGAAGTAGAGGACACGGAGGCTCCCCCAGCGCAGCCTGTCAGTAAGGAGCCAGCATACTCGCCGTATGATGACCTGGCCTTCATCATGTATGTAGACAACGACATCGCTGACCTGGTGCGGATGTTGGATGAAAAGAAGAAGGTGGCTGTTAGTGGTGAGTTGGGGATCTTTTCTGACCTGAAGCTTATAAATTGGAATGAGATATGTAAAGGGCGTAAAATTGTACATCATTGAGATCAGGTTTTCGAAACCCAAAATGTCAAACTAGGTATAGTCACATCCCGGAGATTTAAGACACCCGCTTCTCAAGCATGTCGATGCGGGCTCGAAAACATCTAGAGGTAACCAGTGTTTTCACAACAACACGGTGGTAAGTGTAGTTATTGGTTAACGCAATTATAGATAGCAGGGAGGGCACATTAAGCCATAAAATTTCTAATAATAAGTTTGAAATCGCCAACCCGCATTGAGCAAGCGTAGTGATTAATGCTCAAACCTTCTCCGTGCAAGAAGAGGCCTTTGCTCAGCAGTGGATACTTATAGGCTGTTGATGATGATGATAAATAATCTATTTCGCCTACAAAACGAAAATACAATTTTTATATTTTACAGAGGAGCGCTTCGAATACGCTCGTCGTTTGAAATCAGCGGGCGCTGCGCTTGCTTCAGCCGGCATTCGTATTGGTCGGTGGCGACTACGTAAGCGCACTGCAGCTGCACGGGATGACTTCGAGCTGGCGAGGAGGATGCGGGACAGGATAGCTGATGCTCTGTGTGGAGTGAAGGAGGATCCACAACTTTGTAGACTGTTTGAGGAGGATGGAGTGAGTTTGAGCGTTTCTTTTTCTTAGAGACAGCGTTGATTGAGTGACTTTTTATGTGGCTCGTAATAATTGGGTTGTGTTCAGGGTTTTAAAATTAAAAATCTAATTAGTCCGTCAGTTAGATAAAGAAAAAATATTAGACATGTATTTTTTATTTTTTTCGTATTAAGTTGCAATACTTAGATAAAATGGCGCTAAGTTTAGGAGTGGGAGGTGGTTACGTCATAACGTGCTACAAAATGTGCCACGATGTGACGTCACACGATATTTCAAATTAATATGTCGTCGAAAATATTTAATTTTGTGAGAAAAGAAAATTTACGTGTCTAAAGTTTTAAATTAAGATATCACACGGACATTACAATAAAATTTAGGAAACTAACTACCCTATTATAGTTGAACAGAACAGGAAATCATTTTAAATACGCAAAACGGTTTAAATAATGACCGCACGGAGCAACTCTTTGTGTGATATAAGGTACAAATTGTTGTTTCGGGTCTTTGTGTCATTTTGTGTATGTGACCTTGTATGTTTGTAAAGGCACCAACAACAGAGGAGAAAATCCTAGTGTGGGGCAACGCTGTTTAAACAAGAAAAATAAAAAAATAATTTTGAATAATGAGTTCCGTTGCTTCTCTCTTTTTACGTGCTTGCCCGATAAAACTCACTATTAATGATTCGTAGAAACAATAAGATATTTTATTACTTATTTACGGAGTCTGGAGTTGAAATATAATATAAAAATCATCCGATGGCTTAATTACACAAGGTTTGCAGGAATACTCTAAATAACCGAGTTTCGTTCCAAAAAATATTGGATATTTTCATAACACCTTCCCCAATCTTTTTCAAGCCGGACCGTCGCAACGACTCCTCAATGCCTCAAGAGTATGACTTCTCCCACCATCTCTCGCCGTCCGTAGCCGCAGGGTCTCTCAGCATGGACATACCCTCGCCAGTGCCTCCGATAGAACAGGAACGGGAAGAGAACGAGATCCAAGAGCCAGAGTATGTGAATGGAGAGGAAGAAGAAGAAGATGTTCAGGATATGCAACCGGTTAGATTTTTCAAAAATTCCTTGTAATTATCTTTGATTCGATGAGCGTTATTGTAGAGCGTAAATTATGGGAAACGGCTTTTTGTTAAGCTGTGTCTAGTAATTAGTCTCGATGACCTTACGGTACACAGAATTTTAATCTTGAACACTAGTTACGTATGCCTAAGGCGTTGGTCAATTAATAGTTCTTACAGTAATAGTTTTGTTATTAGTCACTCAAGTCTTTCAAAATTTATCATTCCAGTAAAATATAACAACTAAAAATATTTCAGTCGCCCGAACCAACATTACAAGAAGAAGTTCCACCTTCATACCCCGAGCCAGTGCAACAGCCCGTCCAGATAATGCCCGAAGAGAATAAAGAAGTGCAGAAGATAGAAGAAGAAGAGTTGAGGAAAGAGACTGACAGCCCGAGGAGGAGTATCACGCCTAATGCTGCTAATGGTAAGATTAAACTTAAGTGTAGAAAACTATCGATTCAACAGAAAGTAGAGGTGTTTGGCTTAAGAAGAGAAAGATGTTTGCGAATACCGAAGATGCTTTGTGTTATTTAAATGACCTAATATGTATAAGCACTAAAACCTAAGACTTTATTAATTCGTATTCCAGGTTCTGTAGTACGTCGCAGAAACAAAAGTGCTGGACCACGATCAACGTTTGAAGCATATGAAGAACGATTACTACCAGCATTGAGGCAGTAAGTTTGGAACTTCTCTTAGTTTGTGAATCATAATCAGAAAATGATTTAGTTATATCTTAAACTTCGTCATTTATTCTATGAATGTGTGGAAGTTTATCTTTAAGCCCTTGACTGCCGACTGAAAATTGCTGAAGGCAAATCATCCGCTAACGTAGGTCACCGGTGACCTACGCGGCGGCTAACGTGTTAAGTAATGTCATGAGACGGAAAATATCACTTACGCCCAAATACTGAATGGTTACTCAATTATAAGTTGCACTTAAATATCGTGCCATCTCTGTCATTTTACAAAGAATGTGTAGCGACAGAACTATACTTAAGCGCGACTTAAAATTGAGTGACGTTTAAGTATTTCAGCGTTAGAGTCCTAGAATAAATTCAATTTTGAGCCAAATACACTTTAATAATATTGAAGTGACGTTCCTATCCCCAGCTCCCATACAAACGAGTACCTCCGGGAGGCTCGTGAGGAGGAGTGCAGTGGAGGGAGCGCGGCCACCTCTCACTCCCGCACAGCGCCGCCTCACAAACTGAACGACCGGGAGAGGAAGCACGCTGCGTTACCTATACTGATATTTGGTTATCCACTGGTAAAGAACTCTTGGTTTTGGTTTATGGCTCTATTGCTTCTAACCAATAGGGTTCCAAATTGACTGGTCTTTCAAACTAATATACCATCTGGAAAAAGTGGGCTAAGCGATCTGCAGCAGCCAAGTTAATTTTGACAAAAACTTCGAGCCAAATTCATAGTTACAAAAACCAATCGTAATACTTTGACATAAGACTTCTTCCTCACTCCTTCAAACTTCCTTCTTCAATCATGACAAAGGAAAAGAGTATTTATGTTACCGTTGGAAAATCCTTACTAATATTATAAATCGGAAAGTGAGTTTGTTTGTTTGTTTGTTCCGCTTTCACGCCGTAGCTACTAAACCGATTGCTTTGAATTTTTACAGACGTAAAGTTAGAAGTCCGGATTAAATAATAGGGTACTTTTTATCCCGGAAAATGTTGATATTCCTGAGGAAAAACAAAAGTATTGGTGTATGTCACAGGTTACTTTTTATCTTTTTGTGACGCGAGCGAAGCCGTGGGTAAAAGCTAGTGTAAAATAAATCAATTATATGAAATATGTACCGCTCGCTAAATTATTCCAATACAATCTAAATCAAATCACTTTAATGCACTTTAATCTACGTTTTCACAGGTAGAAAAGTTTTTCTCCAAGAACTATTTGGACAAAGAAGAAGGTTTGTCCCGTCTCCGTGCAGAACTGACGTCTCCATCCAACGGGAGTACAAAGACCTCCCCAAATAAAACAGCCAGGGCCGCAGCCATCTTGCTGCAAAGGGCGCTGAGGGACAAGGTGTTTTCTGTGTACAGTCAAGCTAATGAGGTTGTGAAGGTGCTGTTCAAGGAGTTTGTGCCTGATAGGTGAGGATTTTATTTCTGACTGGTTTGCAGGTTTTTTCGTTTGCACCAGAACGGATAGGTGTTCTTTAGAGTCGATGCGAGCCGGTAACCGCAACCTATTGTTCTTTAATTGTGTCTTTAATGACGGTACTCAACGAGTTAAAGTTCCCTAGATTTGATTACGTCCAAGGGAAATAAAGTATAGGATTAAATAATTGACAAAGATTTAAGTAGTGATTAATTTCTGTCAAATAATTAATCACATAATATTGCAAGTAAGGGAATACCCGCTCAATATTCGACACTGTGTCGCTTTGGTGCACAAAGTACGCACGAACTGATTCTTACACAGCTTACGTTGGTTCTTACACAGCTTAGCGGTCTTGGTCTCCTGTGAGCTACGATTGATGCTACGACGCGTAGCGACTACGAATTTAGAAGAAAGAAAGAGAAAGAGAATTATTTGGCAAATGGCACACAAACAGAGATTATGAAAAATAAAAAATACAGATACTTACATAAATACATAATATTAATAGCAAACATAAAAGCATAAAGAAAATAACAAAAATCATCAAAATATAAGAAAATAATGTACATACAATACGAAACAATTGAAATAAGTTTTTGATATAAAGACAAATTAAATACACAAAAAAAAACAGCATAATATACAATACAATGTAATATTGGAGTGCGTGTGCACATGCCAAAAGGGCCTCCACCTCAGCATATAGTTGAGCATTCCTGCCCAACGCTGATTTTCAGGTGGCACCCTGCAGTGACTCACGGACGGCACGGACGAATTTCGCTACGTAGTCTCCTGATTTATTTCTTCTGCTTTCTTCATTTGTTCCTCAATTTATTATTTCCAGGGTGTGTGCTGCAGAAGTGGGTCGTTGCCTGGAGAAGTTATTGCCGGAGTTGCTCCGTGCGTGCGGAGACCCTGCGCCTCGCGTGCACTCCACCGCTCAGCACACCGTGCTCACTGTGGCTGACTGTCCTCAAGTCAGGTTAGCATCCTACTCTCCATAAATTCTACTTCTTTTGTACGGAAGGCTTATAAATACAGTTGTTACAGACAAGATGCGTTCTGCATCTTAATGAAATTGGATACACAGATGGATTAAATACTGTCTGAAATAACACAAACTTTTGTTTTTATAATAACTATCGTGAAACATACTAGTTAAATTAAATAAAATCGCGGGTTACTCACGTGAATATACTGGGGGGTTCTTCCTCCCTGTGGAAGAGGCTCTCTGTGGTTCGAAACTAGTAGAGCTTTTCTCAGTATATTCACGTGAGTAACCAGCAATTTTACTTAACACAAACTTTTTTTCAAGAAACTTATTTATTTTCTTCTTTCAGGAGTCTCCACTTAATACCCCAGCAGCTGGTACGTCCAGTGGCGGCCTCCATGCACCCTCGGTTGGCACTCTCTCGACTGCAGATGTTGGAGCAACTCATACTCAGCCATGGGATCTCCACCGACAAGAATAGGTGAGGATCTATCTACCAATGCTAACACTGCATAACAAGATAAATAAAAACTTGGTGACTGCCTTCTAAAAACATGCTGTGAATTAAAAAAAAATAGTATAAGGACAGTTTATTCGTTGAGGTATTAAAAACATGCTAAAATTTTTCCTATACTAGTTGTGAGGAGATTTAGATCAAAATATTTAACCGTTTTTGCTTAATGAAAACCACTGAGAGAAAATGTATCGTATTAAACATTAATAAAAATATCTAGCTTCCACAAAAAGACATATTAGGGGACACCCGGACTTGAACCGGGGACCTATCGATCTGCAGTCGATTGCTCTACCACTGAGCTATATCCCCGATGTAATTTCAGTTGAAATAGCGCATTCTATTCTGAGAGCTTGGAACAAACGAAAGACTTCTTTTGTTTAATCTTTTTTGCGGTCGAGTGAATTTTTGTCTGTCAGTGGGCGAAAGGTCAATGGAAGGAGGTTGAATTACCTTTTGAGTTTTTATTCAATAGACAGCGTAGATAACTGAAATAGGTTCATTGAGTGGACTTTGGAAATAGGAGAGAGTGATAAAATTAACGAACTATTCTAAACCTTATTATCGCATTTTCTTCAGTATAAGTTAATTTGTTTGTAAGTAAAATTCAAAGCTAACAAGACTTCACTTCTATTTGGTCCACCAAGTAAGCCTGGAAATTATCATCATCATCACCATAGTCAGCTCTTTTCTATCTGCTGCTAGATATCGTCAACAAAATCCAGCCTTATCAAAACTTTTACCATAAAACCTTGACCTTTCAGCGGCTTGACAGTCCGTCGTCTAGCAGAATGTGGCGCTGCCGGAGCACAGCACGCAGCTGGTTCAGTGCGCGCGGCTGCTGAACGTATATTGCTGGCAGCGTATGCGCGGTCACCTCGTGTGGTGAGAGCGCAGCTCCCGCCTGATGATGCGGTCACCAGGAGAAACCTGATCTACAGGCATCTGTTTCAGCAGTTCGATAGGATTGATATGCAGGTAAGCTCTATATTCTATTATTCATTAGAGACTCGGTTGCCAAAGAATAAAGAAAAAAAATCTATTATTACTAATTGCCTGGTGAAAATAGTTTGGATTATGAGATTTTTAAAGGAATTTCAGTTCTAGGTATTTCAAGGCTTGATTTTTTCAATATCACTGACTACTCTACCTATGTGTACTATACTATATGTATGTGTGTTGATTATACTGCCAGTATAGAGAGATGACGGAATTAAACGACGATGAAATTAAACCCGTTGAACTTTAACTTTAAAATCTTGCAACGAATTACTACTGACAGCAAATGTAACCGCTACATACATTCTTTATTTCTTTTTCCACCAGAAAATGCTAAACCAAGCCCCAACAGAAGAACAGCTCCTCAACGGCAACGACCAATCAATGGCAGATTCAACTCTGGAGACCGCTAGCGTCACCCAGTCCACCAGGAGCGGTACCACCGTCAGCGGCATGACAGCATCCTTAGGCATGACGTCATCAATAGGAGCTACTTCATCATACAGCCTAAAATCAATGACGTCAAGTGCGAGCGGTGCCACCCTAGCTCCTTCCAGCATTAGTGGAAGCTATACCACTTCTAAAACAAAGAGCAGTTTAAAGAAGTCTCCTACAAAAAGGTATACTCCTCGGTCTACTGCGAAGGACTTTTCCAACTACCCTGGGTATAATAAGCTGAGGTTGGATAGCGCTGTCAGTCCGAAACATTCGCCCAGGTCTGCTGCTACTGGTGGCGTTGAGAAGGTAAGTTTGATCTGGTAATATTTTTCTACAATACACCTGTGGAAAAAGCTATCGAAACTTCAGATGTTCCAGTCAATTAAACTATTTTGTGATTTTTGTGGACAATCTCAATGATGTGATCAGGTTCAAATTTATCACCACAAAAGTTTTACAATATTAGTATCTTTTGGCTTTAAAACACCTCTGTTGTTTTTTAATATGTGGTTTTGTTAACCCCTATCATCACATCTTCCAGGTACACTTCCAAGAATCGCACAGTCAGAGTCAATCCCTGTCTGAACAAGTCGTCTACCGACGCACGAATCGCAACTCCGAGAACAGGCACTCGATGATCCACTACGACCATGAACCTTCGAAGCCACAACTCAAAGAAAGACCAGTCACAGTCTACGAGCCCTTACATTTGGACTATAGAGACTCCCCGACTTTAGGCTCTCCGAAAACCTCCAAAAATGACCTTCGGAGTATGGATTCCTTGCCGATGGACTCTCCACAAATGTCCAGAAATGATCTAAGGTGTGATTCGGACTGCCGAAGTTTGGACTCTCCGAAAGTGAAGGCTGATTACTTTAGGGATGGAGTGCTGGAGTCGCCTAAGCTGGTCGCTGGTCTGAGGAACTTGCATCTTGATGAGCATAGCCAAATGGATGAGAGTGGTTATTATAGTCCAGGTGAATATTTAAATAATTTCTGTTAACATTAAACCACGATTTTAATCATCATTAACAGCTTATAAATGCCCACTGCTGAGCAAAGCCTCTTCTCACACGGTCAATGCGGGTTGGCGATTTCAAACTTATAATTAGAAATTATAAGCCCAGGTTTCCTCACGATGTTTTTCCTTCACCGTTTGTCAGTGGTGTCTAAATAATCTTAGAAAGCACATATAACTCGGAAGAAGTCACATTGGTGCTTGCCGTTGATAGGTTTCGAACCCGCACCCTCATGCATGAGAAGCAGGCGTCTTAAACCTCCGAGCCACCACGACGATTTTAATATCGTCTGTTAAATAAAGAGTGAAAATAGTAATCAAAAACCGCTGGACTGTCTACTTTCTCTTCATACCTGGGTGACATTTTGACATAATAACCATAAATCATTAAATTGTACGGTTTCAGGGAGAAGGCACCAGGCTGCAGGCAGTGAACATCAGTATGAGCCTTACGACGTTGGTAATGCAGATGTCTCTGAGAATATACCAGAAACCATCAGCTTACAGTGAGTTCTCATCAGCTCTAGCTATCTAAACTGGTACACGCCTGATGATCTAAGTTAGCAGTAGCAAGATGAGTGAGCAAGATTGAGTGATACTCCAAACGTTCAAAAGAGTAACGAATGGAGTTTCTTGCTCGTTCTTCTCCACTCGAATCGACATTTTGGAACGAGCGCCTAGCTTCACTGACGGACAGACTGACAGACTATTATTTATTTCATATTTGTTGACGTTTCAAAAGTACCAAATTATGGTTTAATTGAAATAAATGCTTTTGAGTTTACGTTTGAGTCACTTTGTAAAAGATCCACTAATTAGACCTCCCGTTCTTCAGCACTACGTGCTCATGGTGCGGTCGTCGTGTGCGCGCGGAGGCGCTGGAGGCGCACTACTGGCGGCGCTGCGTGCTGCTGGCGCGCTGCCCGCACTGCCGGGTCGCGCTCGAAGCTAGGATGTTGCACGCTCATCTTCTAGGTACTTTCATTAATAAATCATATTGAGATCTATCTCTGGTAATTGAAAAGTGAATCATGATAGACTATACAAGGTGTAATTTTGAATCCGTGACATTTCTCGGGGGCATGTCACAGTAGTCATAAAGGTTCAATGTAAGATAAAGTTTCGGGCCAATAGTTAAAAATACGCAATAATTCGTTTAAGGTCGACAGTATTTCAGAATAAGCGACAGCGATGTTTCTTATTGGAGTTTTATGGAATTAGGAATAATATCAATTACGTGTTTGAGTTTGTGTGTGTTAAGCCGCGTTATAAAGCTAGTTACAAGACGGCGACGTGTAGTTCACACTTACGGATTTCCGTAATTTACAGAAAAATGAAAAATATTTACCTACAATTTTTTTATTGATTCGGACTCAGAATCGGTAGCCAATTTACCTCCTAGAAAATGACGTGGCTTTAAAACAACACCTTGTATTATACCAACCCTACTCTTCCTGCGAGAATCCAATAAGAACCTAAAGGAAAAAACTAAAAAAGGGAACTTTTGACTGTGGTCTCCAACAAGCCTTGGTCGGGTCATAATCTCTATTATGGAAAATCCTCTTATGTAGAGGTGACTCATAATCCAGCAATGGACCTTGTCGGCGCATTAGTATGGCCATCGACCATAGAGGTGGCGACGCGCGGGATGGGGGTATAAAAACTCACGGCCGTCCGAGCGCCGTGCATCTTCATCCACACACTCTCACGCTAAAGCTTTCCGGCATTTCTTTGTGTCGGTGCGCCACCGGTCTTGATTCTGATTTATAATTAAACCTACTTAATGCAGTCTTCTGTTTGAATTAAAATAACCCGACAGAGCTACGACAGACCATCTACTGTCCCGAGCGTGCGGCGCGTCGCGTTCCGCGCGCCTCAAAAAACCCATCAGACCACCACAGATGGGGCCTAATAGGGCCGATGCCGATTCGGAGTCGCGGAGAACCTAACGGGTAACCGGGTAACGGCTAACCGGCTCGATGTGCAAGAGAAGGAACGGGGTGGTTTTTAGTCAGTAAGAGTCTGACACTCCCTTCCGCCTCACCCAGGCGGGAGCAGTCATTCGACGATTTTCCACCTTTAAAAAAAAAAATTTAAAAAAAGACCATCTACTGTTGGTGACTATGAGTGACAATGAGCTGTTGATGTTTTTGATACGAACAAAGTAAGGTCTATTATACTTTTACCATTATCTAAATTACTTGTATTTGAACATTGCAGAGGAGTGCACAATGAGTGAGGGCAGTTGGAAGGCGTGTCACAAGTGTGGAGCGGCTCTCAGGACTGATGACTCTGATTACCATGCCAACTGTATTCGTAAGTCATTTTTTAGTATTTTATACTTCTCTTGTTGTTTCTATCCTTTTGCTGACTCTTAGAACTGTCATTAAATAGAGCCAGAAACACAGGAGTGTAACCACATGTTACATAAGCCCGGCTCCCACAGATGGGGCCCAACAGGGCCGATGCCGATTCATTCATGCCGAGTCGCGGAGCACCTAACTGGTAACCGGGGCTCCGGCTCGACGTGCAGGAGAAGGAACGGGGTGGTTTTTAGTCAGTAAGAGTCTGACACTCCCTCCCGACTCACCTAGGCGGGAGCAGTCATTCGATAATTTTTTCAACTTAAAACACAAGCCCGGCTTTACGGCTCGACCGGAGTGGAACCACGGCCTCACAGAAAACCGACGTCAAACAATATTTGCGTTGTCGAGTGAGTGAGGTTACCGGAGGCCCAATTAACCCCCTCCGCAGTCTCCCCAATCCCCGAATCTCCCACAATCCTCATATTCCCAAAGGGCCGGTAACGCACCTGTACCGCCTCTGGTGTTTCAGGTGTTTATAGTGGCGCCGATTGCTTACCATCAGGTAATCTGTCTGCTCGTTTACCTGGTATCTACGTAAAAAAACAATGGATGGCCAATTTCACAATTTCACATCAAAAGGTCGACAGCTGGAAACTTTAATTTTTGTTCCACATACACTGCAGCAAAATTAATACACACCTTTGTCCTTTCCAGCACTTGGCATGGACGAGTGGAAATGTCCGTACTGCTTCACGAATGTGCTGGCCCGCGACCTTCCCTGGCAGAGGCACCTGATGCAGTGTCCTCGGAACCCCAGGACTACGCAGTCTTCATAGTGGAACGTCCAGGTGGAACTTTAGAAAGCCAAGTACGCGTTTGCCGTAGAAAACGTTAACAAGCGGGTTTGCGTTATCCAATGGTACCTATCTATGATGAGGAAATCACCAGACTTAGACCACTAAGTTGATCCCTCTTTCTCAGTTTTCCTTGGATAGCATCAGCAATGTTTTCTATGATAAGCGTGGCAAAGGCGTTATTACATACATTGCCATGCAAAGATCATCTCTTGTTGTTTTAACAAGTTAAAGATGATTTAAAATAACTTGAAATCTACTTTTAAACTAGTACCTACCTAAGAATTTTTTGACACATATACAAAACCTAGAAGAGTTGATACCATGATGCAAGAAAGTCGTATAAAGAAATAGTCAGAATGATTTCTAAACAATTTCAGCTTATAATAGGTAGAAGAAAAGTAACAGGGGTGGTCTTTGTATGTAAATGTCTTAGATAATCTATTATTTTATTAGAAAAACAGGTAATGTTTTAAAAACAAAAAAAGTGCTTATATGGTTTTTACTTAAAAAATAATTAAGAAACAGCAAAACGCATTAATAAAAACATGACAATGTTTACCAACAAAGTATTTATTCTAAGAAAAAAAACATTTGATTTAGAATTTCTAAATTACAGCCAGTAACAAGCTCAATATTTATTTACCTAACTCACCTAAAGAATTTATTATTATTTTTCGATGACTTTAAAATTTAAAAAAAACAATTGGCTCAAAACTTAAATTAAAAAAGTATTAAAATTGAAATTGAAATTAAATTACGAAATATATTAAAATAAAGCATAATTCACATTCTCAGTAAAATATGATAACACGAATGCTTTGAATGTATTCATAAGGTTATTGCCAAAATATAATTCATTAGACACTTATTAATTATTTAAACAGAACCTGTTTGGTATTCAACTATTGAATTAATTATTGTTTATACACATTTATATTGATATTTTCACTGCATAGCAGTTATTTATTTCACGACTATATTTTTGGATATCTCAATAGCACCTAATGCTAAGGATACACTAGGAAACATTCCAAGATATATTGTATCGGCGTTATGTCGAGCGGAGCCGGTCGATGTCGCCTGACAAATACGGCGACAACGCGCAACGTACACAGTGACTTTGCTGTTACCTGAGGGTCTACCTCTAGTACGAGTTTCTTTTTCGTTTAAAGTAATCGAAACGAGACGGCGTCCGGCGCTCTGATTGGTTGGTTAATTGGAGCCGGCCAATCACAGCGCCGAACGCGTACTCGTACGTGAAAGAAACTCGTACTAAGGCCTCTGACATGTCGACCAAAATCCGGCAACGTCGCGTTACTTCACCCGACGTCGCTGGCAACACGTGTCGCACGACATTTTGTCCCCGAGTGTTTCTTTGGCTTAATTTAATATTAACATAATTTATTTCTGAGTAGGTACAAATATCAACACTACTTAATGGCTACAATAATACTAAATAAAATAGTCCTGATTATTTGTAATTAATACACATTTTAGTAGCGAATATTTAAATGAAATTCTTTTCATTTGGACATTATAAATCTACATTAAATCATGTTTGGACACTAAAATCTACTTACATAAAATTATTTGTATTAAAATCAAAATACATCAATTTTTTCGGAGTAATTTGATAGACAAATAGTACCTAAATCAATATGTAAGTAGAATTCGGTTTATTCATATTTTAGTTTCATTTTCATTTAATTTCCTTCTTTGCATTTCCTATTCATGTTTTTATTGTTCACTTCAAGAGGATTATACTTATTTACTGAAATTAATGTATTCACAAAATTGTATCCGTCAATTGACTTGAAATACTCTCCACTAATATTAAGTAAAGCACTGCTTCTTAGTCCACGATTACCGTCCAATAATATGGATTCCGTCTTTGACTGTTTATTTATTTATTTTGAGTCGATTCTAACATTTTTATAATATCTAAGGGTAAAAAATGATACAAGACATAATAAGTATAATAATAAGTATGATGAAAAATGAGTTTAATAAAGTTTACAGAATGAGTTTAATAAAGTTTACAAAAATGAGTTTGATAAAGTTTACCAAAAAACACTCATTTACTTTGTTTTCAACAGGCGATATGAAATACATGGAATACTGTTTTTCATTTCATGATACATGTAATTAAGACAATGTTAACTTATAATAAAATATTGGAATCGACTCCTATCGATTTTGATGTGTCTTGTTCTTTGCAAAATTTTCTAGAAAGCTCTTATTCTTATAGCATTAAAGGGATTGAAGAAATATTTATGGGAATTTCGGTAATTATTTAATTACAATCTCAATCTCAGTTACTCTCAATAAACTTACTATATTTAGTGTCACTCTCTTCAGACACATAGAGAAAATCCAGCTGGTTTGGAACTTACGCACCTATAATAAATCAAATTCGTTGTTTCCATGTACCTATCCTATCCTATATCTACGTAAAAATCATACCTAAAACTATAAGAAGCCATATTTAAACCATAATTTAATAATATGAGTTTATAACCGATTTTTAGTTAGAGTTTTGATGTTAGTAGACTTAAACACACTCATATAGGTACAGCTGCACTCATACATACATGTATAATAAATAGTTGACTGCCTCGTTGGCCGAGTGGTCGCAAGTGCGACTGGGTAAGGGGTCTCGGGTTCGATTCCTGAGTCGGGCAAAGTATTACGGGGTTTTATAAAAAAAAAATCTGTCTGCACAGAATCTGGAATTATGCCCGGTATATGGCAAGACGCTCACCCTCTATAACATGGGACTCATAACATAAATAGTGAAAAGTGTAGGTGCACCTCTGCCTACCAATTCGGGGATAAAAGGCTTGATGTTTTGTTATTAACAGGTACAGTCATATACATAAATAATAAATTCTAAATAGTTGACTCACTAATACTTTTTATTGATATCCTAATAGGTAGATAATAATTGAACCACTAGCCTTTTGGTACCTATAGTATAGTAGAAAATTAAAATGGAATTCCGAAATTATTTAGCAAAACACGTTTGGTTATTCAGTGCGGACTACACACTACTTTATTTTAAAAAAGGAACGTTGTTACCAGAGACTACAGTTACCTACCAGTGAGTATAGTTTAGTTTATCTACCATCGACTAGGTGTCGCTATTTGTTACATTTTGATACAGTTATCATTAATAGAATTTACGTTATTTTTTGTAGTTTATTTTTAGAGTTTTATCATTTAGTCAAATGGATTCTCTAACTGCGATATTCAGAGACATTTAAACTATTCCTTAGTAACGATTTTGTTCGCAAAACAATTGCTAAGGACTGGATTAAGTAGCCATTAAATGACTCTGAATATTTGTTTATTTCATTCGTCAGTAGCATTAAGTTTAATTAAGTAAATATAGTAGCTTAGCGTAGCGAATAGTTATGTAATAAGTAAGCATAGATTTTGATTTAAGGGTAAGTTCTGACTCTTATCTCTCTTTCTCTTCTAGTACACTTTTTTGCTTCATCTCTTTCTTGCACATGAAAATCTATCTATCTTTGATTTTTTGAATTTTCTGAAAGCATTTTCTTGTTTCCAACTTATATTATTAACAATTGTAGGTATTCAGTTTCTTTCCTATCAATAATACTAATAAAACATCTAAGTTTGAAAATCATGAACTATTCGAAACTTTTACCTGTTCTACAATCTCCTCTTTTTTCTATTGATGTTGCTTCTTATTCGTCTTCTATCGTTTGTCTTACCTCTAATATTTTTTCTACTATCTTGTCATTCACTGTATCATCAAATATCAAATGTAGCAGTTTAAGAAAGACTTGTGGAAGTTCCACAAGTCGAACTTAAACTGCTACATTTTCTAACTCTTCTTCCGTCTACATTCTTATTATCTTCTTAACTGCAAAGAGCAGAGCATTAAATTTTAACTTCACTGCAAAGAGCAATCTTCTATTTTCTCATCTACAATCTCTATTACACCTCCGTTCCTCTACGTTCCTATACTATATTAATGACATAATAAGTGTTTCACAGTTATATACAGCATTTTCTTCTACTCTCTCATCTCCGACTACTTCTCCTATACCTTCTGCCTCTCTATCTACGTTCCTATCTCCTACTTTAGGTATATTTAGCTCGTAATTAGCTTTAGCTTAAAAGAAACCACATCACCCACTGTGATAAAGGATCGAGGGTCTTTGATAAAGGTTTTAATGCGTGGGTTCTCAGCTGTTGGTATAGATGTAACGTTTAGTTTTAAGATGGTGACGCATGTGTCTGTGTGTGTGTGGTCAATATTTATAGGTTTATTTAACTTTAAAGGTTGTTTGTGTGCGCAAATGGTTTGAATGGTTTTCGTGTGAATCTTGTTTATGTGTGTGTGTGTGGTGTTCTATTTTTAAGTTGGGATTGGTGTTTTATGTCGGAATACTGAAACGTTACTCAATTTTAAGTCGCGCTTAAGTATAGTTCTGTTACCACTAATTCTTTGTGAAATGACAGAGATAGAACGATATTTAAACACGACTTAAAATTGAGTAACGTTTCAGTATTCCAGGATTTGTCTACAGATTTGGTTGTTTTATAGATTTTTAGAATCAGTGTTCTCTTTTGTTCCTCTTGGCCTCGTCAATTTACTTTCACGTTTACATTATTTTTAGGATTCGCGTGTTTCTTTGCCTTAGTTGTGTTTTAAGTTTTCTTTATTAACCATATATGATATACATCATAGGTAAGTACTTCCAGTATAAATATTGACCACTACACCACAAAATATGTATTTAAGTATCATCCCATTCTTTCATGAGTATCTAGTTTGGTTCGTGCTGACTTTTAATTGGGTTTATAATTTTTCGGAATTAAAGCTGTGTGCACACACAATACCTACGGAATAAGTTATTAACGACCAATATTTTATTTAATACTTACGCATTCACTGCTTTCTGTACTAACGTTTTAAGGTATACTTGATGAGAAGAACTTGTTAAAAT